CAGTGCATTCAACAGGGCAACATAAGGCAAGGTGTATCAATGTTGGAAAACATTAATCATTGTATCATTGCAGGGTATCATTAGGTGAAGATCAGAAAAAAACTTCTTATGACTTCTTATATCGTAACCACAAAAAAAAGACAAGTTCCTTTTCCACAAATTTCTTTAATAATGATCAAGCAAATCATTCTACTGAAATGAACAAGCAGACTAAGAGGTGATTTAATACATATGTTAATAACAGTATGATATTTATATCAGATACTCATTGGGTAAACCAATTATTATGTCTACCCACATCTTTCATTCGTATAAATATTTACAGTTGTACATGTATAATCCCTAGTCTACTGAGTGCATTGTTAGCTGCTGCACTTACCATTGCTAATTGCTGCCCAATACAACAACGTGGTCCTTCACTGAATGGACAATATGCAAATCTAGTTCTGAGAAATTAAGATTGTTACAGGTTGTCAGTATAATGAATAGAAAAATGTAAAAATGTGTCCGATCATATGTAAAAATGAGAGGGTATCGATCATGATTCAGTTATGCAAATAGATTACATAAACCAATGTATGTGTAACATTTTTTTAGAATCTATAAAATAACATACCTTTTAATAGTCCATGAAAGCTTACACCCAAGCATATGACATAACAATGATATATATATATGTAATATTATGGCATTTTTGGTTCAAATGGTATAAATGAGACAGTTATCCAGATCTTCTTATTGCATACAATAATTATGTGCTTATGAAATGAAATGAGACAAGAAAAGCTTTGCCATGATAAACAGTTTAACAAATTAATTAATTAATTAATTAATGGACATGAATATTAAATTATTAAACAAAAGACATTGACTGAATGCATACTAGTAATTCAGTCTTTATGTACTGCACCACTATCACTAAGGTGCAGTGTGATAAATAAACCTAATACATAAATATATTACTTACATATTTTGTGATGATTGAAACCTATCAGGATTGAATACTAATGGCTTGTCATAATACCATTCTACTCTTCCCATTACAACCATACTAACCTAAAACAGAACAATTGTAATACAGAATCAAAATGGTAGCTTATATTTAAAAACAGGTCATGTAAACAAAACTGAAGATAATTTTAAATCAGAACATAAAATGAATGCATGTTAATAAGTGGGATATGATTTATAAACATATTAGGTGTAAATTTTTATTGCATTCAGTCAAGGCATGTCAAAGGAAATATGACATTCATTAAAACAAAATGTGCCCGGTATGTCAGTAGGCAATTTTGAATCTGATCTGAAAAACAAAATAATTTGAACTAAGATTCAAGTTTGAATATGATCGGTCAAGGCATGTCAAAGATATGGCACTGAAGCAGCATTCATTGAAACAAAATGGCTACCAGTTGTCCATTATGAATCCAATCTTAAAATCATTAAATGATCGATGTGCATCAAGGTCCCATTATGTTCAATGTACGTACCAATTTTATATAAATGAAATGTGTCCATGCACAATCAAGATCTGGTTTCATAAGCAGAAACACTTTTGATACATTTTTAACGTTTACAATGACCATCATTCTTTCATTTTGAATTGAATCATCAAAGCAATGCATATAACTGTTAAATAATTGTATGATGTATTTCTAAATTTGACTGTGATCAGTCAGGGAATATCTGTGATAACAGCAACAAAATGTATGCCAGATAGCAGTTTTGATTCAGATCAGAAAAACAAAATGACATATATAAAGGTTCCATTATTGCTCAATGTTTGTACCAAGTGTGAACACACAACCATGATTCTGTTCATGAATGACAGAAATGCTTGGTTTTATACATTTTCAACATTCAGCCATCTTGAATTGGACCATGACATGTGAATATGTATGATATAATGTATGTGTGGACATAAAAGCATGTTTGTGATACAGGCGCAGGTACACACATACAGACACACAGAGATGAAACCATAAGTACTAACATATGTATGGAATATTCTAACATGAAATTATAATTTCTTAGAGTCATACTTAATGTACTGTGTTTGTTCAAGGTATGAGTGACATAATGCCATATATTAATAGTCCATACCAGTACGGTGGAAGCAGCCGGTATCTTCATATTGTTGTATATTCTGGAAGTTTTAAGCTCTCTCATGGTTCCCATCCCAACAGGATATAATCGCAGGGTTTCTTTAAGTACCTTGAATTCAATAATTCAGAAATATCTTAGTATCTGCCAAACAATTTAGTAATTTAGGTCATAAATACGAACATAATCGCATATATTAAGATTGTACAAAAAAGAATATAAAAAAATGACACAATATGTAGAAATATATTTAACTTGAATATCTGAAATCTAGCTAACCAATAATTCATGAGTCTTGACATTATACTTCTATATATGGTGTTTATTTCTGCCAATCAAGCATGTATTTTATTGTGGTTATAACTCAAGGCAACTTTATTTTTTTTTTACTTTTTGGAAAAACCTTTTGTGCTTTCTTGTGTCTATGTGTCATGTCTCATACATTCCACTAACGTGTGATTTCTTGTTGTGAGTCTATATGGCATGTCTCATACATTCCACTAACATGAGATTTCTTGTTGTGAGTCCATGTGTCATGTCTCATACATTCTACTAACATGTGATATCTTGTTGTGAGTCCATGTGTCATGTCTCATACATTCCACTAACATATGATTTCTTGTTGTGAGTCCATGTGTCATGTCTCATACATTCAACTAACATGTGATTTCTTGTTGTGAGTCCATGTGTCATGTCTCATACATTCCACTAACATATGATTTCTTGTTGTGAGTCCATGTGTCATGTCTCATACATTCAACTAACATGTGATTTCTTGTTGTGAGTCCATGTGTCATGTCTCATACATTCCACTAACATGTGATTTCTTGTTGTGAGTCTATGTGTCATGTCTCATACATTCCACTAACATGTGATTTCTTGTTGTGAGTCTATGTGTCATGTCTCATACATTCCACTAACATGTGATTTCTTGTTGTGAGTCTATGTGTCATGTCTCATACATTCCACTAACATGTGATTTTTTGTTGTGAGTCTATGTGTCATGTCTCATACATTCATACATGTGCCAAGACTGATATGTCCTACAAAACTTCACCTAAACATTCCAGTGAGAATTTAACGAATGATCTGTGTGACTTACATTCTCCAAATAAGGCAACTTGATAAGCTTTGCTTCTTCTTTGACAGCCTTCACTTCAGCATATACTCTAAATTATCAGTGTTTAAAAAAAAAAATTAAATATTGCGATTATTAGTATAGTACAAAAAAAATATTAAAATTTTGTCAAACAGATTAATGATCTCTTCTTAAATTAACATTCTTTGTTGGCATCAAATCTTAAAACATGAATGTCTCATCACTTCTAGTGAATGATACTTACTTCTTATACACTAATGGATTCATACAAAGTTGGAACAAACAGAAAGACAGCATACTGGCAGTAGTATCAACACCTAGTGAATAATTTTAGTGAATAGTGAACAATTGATTTTATATCTGGTACATGCCTAAAACTTATACAACGTAGGGTTACATGCTAGTTGAAATTCCTTTCAATTTTGAGTACTATAAGCTTGGCCAATAATGAAATCTGAAATTTACAATATTTGCGAGTTATACTGATCTAAACCTGATGCTCTGTACTTTTCATCCAAGAAGCTATTAATTGTCTTCACTACAATAAATCTGGTCATGCATTGATGCGGTTTTGAATTCTGCTTTGAGTTCATGCTTAAAAATAACTAAGCTAGGACAAGTTGACGACTTTCTAAGATTCTAATCTTGCAATTACAAGCACATTTAGGCAACTTCTTAGTGATGTTATTGTTATTATTTTGTAGCGTTCTCAATACCAGTGCATTTACTGCCACTAAAAAGCTGAAAATTTTGAAGAAAATCAATAGTGAACGAAACACAGTAAATGGCCTGTGAATCTGAATAATTTGAAATGTCTTTCAGGAAATTGTTTCCACAATCTCATATGGCAAACTAAGAAAGAAAAATATTGTATTTAAATCATTTTCATTGTGAGTGGATGAGTGACTGATGTGCGGTGTGGAATAGCATTGTAGTGATTGCCCAAGCGAACAACACACCGGTGACTGGTCCGCCATCTTGGAGCGTCCGCTGTGGCCTTGCACTACGCTATGCTAGATCGCCGCTGTGGACAGGCTGGATCGACTGTGCATGAACATCTATGTAGTCGTACCGTTACCCTATCTTACAAGTGTTTTCAAACCATCAAGGTAAATGTTATTGGCAACTGTCCTGTCTGTGTAATAGTTATTTTTGAATGAACATGGCTGGAAAGTCAGTGGGTGTTAGACATCCTAGAAGGAGAACCAGTAGTGACTGTATAAATAAAAAAAACACTTGAGAACATGTTAACCTTGGTTAACCTCACTTTATCGACACGATAGGGTGACCTAGTCGGGAGGCCACCAGGACAGCGGCATCAGTCAGGGAATCTAGAAGCGTGTGGACTTGAGTTATTGTTTGACACTTGACCTCTGTGCCTGAAACACAAAGCAATTAATTGTGATGTACGAGAACCTAAATTCCAGTAATAGCCTTATTATTTTACATTATTGTTTTAAAAAACGCTGAAAAGAACCACCAGGCGCTGTCAGTGACAAATTTGAAATTTGCATAATTGAGTGCACCACATGTGTGCATTCTACTGATACAACAAGTTGTGAGTGCTTGTTTGTTACTCAATTGGACCACAAGAAAGACTGCTCTTTTATTCATTCATAAAGGCTATAAAAGCCTTTTAGCAAATGTATTTGTGTAGTCATATTACGTATATCTTCAGAAAGTAACTCCTACAACCAGAAGATGGCATACTGAGAACTTGATGGAACTGACTGATAACCAGCCACATTTATCATATATAAATCAATGAATTTTTGAAAAATTCAACAACAGCACAAAAAAGTTTCATTGATCATGTCCTGGTACATTGTAACTCAGACTGAGATTGAAACAGTTGACTACAAGATTTACGAGGGACAGTGAAGCTGAAGTGGCATTCTGGACAAGAATTGTGTTATTTTGTGAATAACCTCATATTATTCTCCCAGTGTAAAATAAATTAAATTATATCAAACATACTTAATTGAATCTTACTAACCTGCAACTAATAAGGCAACTAAATCATCCACTAGTTCTTCAGTGTCATGAACAGCTGAAATAAAATATGTCATCACTTATACTTTAATTTCTAATAAAGGTTGTGAAAAGAAAAATCAATAGTTATAAATAGCGCCATCTGAGTCTAGTTTAAACTCACCACTTGTTTTTAACCAGTGTGTGAGAACATCATGAGGTAATTGTTGTCTATCACTATTTTCCAGTGCTGTTTGCCTCTGGTTGACACATTGCCTGAACATTCCCCTGACATGCTTGATTGCTTCTCTGACTTCCTCTCTGTATATTCTCTTCATAGGATTATACTAACATAAGTACACAAAATACTAGTATATTCTGCCATTTTCATGTTTTAAACAATGTTAACCTGTGTGACTCATATATAAATATATAAATTTAAATATAGGATTAAATTGGGTTATACGATGAATACGATTATCTAAGCAGGGAATGTATTGTTGAGATTCATTGGTGTGCCCACAGTGTGCTGTCAGCTCAATGCAACTCTACTGCATTACCAGTATGCACATGGGTCAGGGTACACCAGGGTGTGATCACCAGTATATGTCAAATTTGTGAGGAACTTTATGTGTTCAGTAAATTGGAATAATATTTCATCACATAATGTTTATTATATGAATAAATAATAATTACTGAATATTCTGTTGTTTGTTTAATTTGTTCATATTCACAGAAGCTATTTATTCCATAAATGAAGCATACTGACAACCTGATTTCAATTTTAAACTTGTCTGTCTCAAATATCGCCAGCTTGTTTTCAAATCATGAAAATGAATCGGTAGTATAATCCTAAACATCTTGTATACATATTTTGAAGCCAAACCCAAATCATACAATTATGAAATATATATAAAAATGAATACAATAATTTTGAACCAATCAGACAAGCAAATACATTTAAAGGTTTAGTTTTTTAAAAGTACTGAATGATAATGAAAATAAGCATAATTATAATTTTGTTACCTTAATCATGGGATTATTATGACTATGGTCAATAGATTTGTAGATGAGTTGTAAATCTTCATAAAGATCTCTGTTTATATCACTGTTGTTATCCATACTACACAATACCTGTCAATAGTAACAGTCGTAAATATAGCTTATAGCGTTTACATACAGTGAGATGAAACAAACAAATATTAACATTTATTAGCATGTATTAAAGCACAACAAAAATAAACAAATCAAGAAAACTGTTGTTCCTGGGAACAGTGTATGTTTTGACCTCTGCACTTTCATCCTAACAGAATTTATTACATTATATAGTTCCTATCAAAAGATTAGGTGCATAGTTTTCCACAAATATTGGAAATATAATTCTTTTACTGAAAATGATCGAAAAAATAATCAAGAATAAAGAATTAAACTATAGAGGTATACATGGCCATTTCAAATTCATGATCTCATTATGTTCAAAGTATGTACAAAGTTTTAACAAAATCTGTCCATGCACGACTGAGATCTGGATCCAGACTGGCAGAAATGCAAAATTTAAAATAGCACACATTCTGCCATTTTGAATCAGGTGACCAAATAAATACATGTGCATATGTGTGATATGATGTAAGATGTGTATATAAAGTGTGAACATGATTGTTCAAGGCATGAATCCGATCTGAAAAACAAAATTATGTGCATCGAGGTCCTAATATGTTCAATACCAAGTCTGAAAGAAATCTGTCAATACACAGCAAATGGGATTTACTAGAGTTGCCATGGCAACTATGGTTTTTGAACAATGGTTGTCTTGGATGACTGAGAACAAGATTTATTGGATACCAGATTTCCCAGTAAGGAAAACACATATTTGTCATTGAGTCACGTCAGGGTGGCCATCACTGAAAGCTTACCTGTATTGTAATATCAAGCACAACATAGCCAAATTCGTCAAACATTTTCACTATTGTCTCTCCATCAGCGAATGTTTTCAATTTCTCATTAAATGAATTACAGCATGCATCAAGTTTGTCCCAAAGTAAACTATAAATACAAATTAAATTGAAATTAATGATAAGCAGTCATAATAATTATTAAAGTTAACTGAAAAGATATTCTAACAAGTACACGCATCATACAACATGTCTTCATATACGGTTCAGTTTTGGTCTTCAACGATGTGATCAAGCTTATCATGGATAAATAAACTATCCATACAATATTAGCTCCAGTAGCTCAATAAATGTCAGAGAAATAAGTCATAATTTTACGAAACCAGTATACAATAAATTTTTCTTTTATGTGCGCTTATTTTTTAGATGTCTTATTAATAGAACAAATATGGTATTTGCATATAAAACCACAAGAAAAAAACACTTAATTAAAAATTTTAAATACAATAACTTATCTCAGATAGTTTTCTAAAGCCATCAATAAAGGTATACATAAATATGTTTAGGAATCTTACTCATCTCGTAATGCAGAAGTTAATATAGATCTTCTTTTCGCTATTTTTTCATTGTCAACCTCTGTCATTATACTTTGGCCCAGTAAACGCTGACCAAAGAGAGAGCATAGTGCCTGGTAATTGGACGGTTTGGGGTGCTCACCAGTTAATAAATCCTGAAATTAAATTTAAAAAGGCATTTATTTTAGACACTTTTAGATATTTTTACATTTTTTTAAGTAATTCATATAATCCTAGTTGTTTTATTGACAATATTGATGGCAATAAGTTACCTGTAGAACTTCTGGTTCTAAAACTACTACTGTGGCTTTATGTAAGGTGAAAAACTTGAATATTGGACCATAGTCACTAGCCCTACAATAAAACAAATATAATGTTATGAATTCATAACTTTGACATCATGTCATGGACAAATCAGTCTTATACTGTGCGGAGGCTTTGTAAAATAATATTGCAAAATATCATCAGTGATAAATGCATCAACATTCTTTATTTGATCATTTTTATGTTCATATTAATAACTTTGGCTTAAGATAAACAAAATAATTTGCATATTAATCCTTTGACTTACCATTTTAAAAGTATATCGGAATGCAAAGATTTCCCATTCTGCATTGCAGTACTAATTTGCTGCATATTTCCCCACAAAAAACTAGAGAAAAGACAAATACATGATATTTTCATAAAGGTATGAATTTGTTTATGGACATTTATAAAATATTTAGTAAATAAATAAGAATTTTATAAATTTCCATAAAAATCATTCATGCTCTCACGAGTTTCACTGTATGATTGCGCTTCAATGTTTTGAGCCAAAATGCAAGTAATATTACAATCAGTAATGTACTGAGTTATTTATAACAGGGATCACCACAACAAATATTTATTGTTGACACATGACATCGTATATCGGAATTATTAGGTTTCATGTCAGTCAATTTTCTCTCAACTATAAAATCCGTCTGTGAGGGCGCCCTTTGTCAAGGTAAGTAACCATGCTGACAACCATGCTTCAAATCACTTAACCAGCGTCCCGGTGTTGAGCGACGGTGACTCAACAGACAACTTTAGTTGGATAACGTTGCAAGATTGTCACTTCCAGAATGTAATGTACATAGTACCAGTGCCATGTGTATGTACGACCTCAGATGACTATAATAATATATAAGCACATGAGAGGTACTAATTCAAATCACATTTACAAACATGCACGCTTGATTTCTCCGCTAAGGGAATTTTGAACAGTTACCTCCCTCTTGGTGGACTTGGAATATGACTGTACTTCCAATGTTGGTATGACACGTATCCAATAAATAACAATATAAATATCACAATTGAGCACCAAATAACTGCACCAAGTAGAAGTAACGGGTATGGTAATTGCACCATATTCTCGATTTCACGATCACGTTGTTACACTCGAATAAGTAAACAAATTTTAACCGGAAATATACAGACCCTCTAGCTCTTTGAGAAAAATAGGGTTGACACATGTACAGATGATTACATTTCCCCGCAAGTGATATTGCCCTGATATTGGTTTCAACTCATCAGGTCCAACCTTGGGATATTTTACAGAACATGGAATTATGCACATTATCAGTAAACCTTTGTTAACAAATACATGTAATTTAAGCCAATATGATAAAAATAAGATATGTTTATGGGGTTATTTCTTTCCCCTCTTCATTATTTTCGGTGTCACTATTTTTTTTAGATAATAAACGGATGGGCAACAGAGGAACGCAATATTCTCCTCCATCTTTTTATTTTCAAAATACGTGACATGTATACAAGTTTACTTATAGTGGTGTTTTCCCCTGAATGTCAACAAAACCGAAAAAAAAACTGTGACTGTGAGAAGGTGTCGCAATTTTCCTGCTGTCTACACCAAACCTGGCTGTACAGCAGATAGCGTATAACAATCTAAGTATTCAAATTAACTTGATTTGAAATATGTGATACCTAAACCAATAAAATATACTAGTAATACTGTTAGGTATGGGAGAATAGGGAGAAGTTCCTTTTTTTACCACTCGACAAAACAAGTTTGCACAATTGCAATTAAATCGGCGTGCTGGCGGAAATCACATTACACGAAAGACAACAGTGGTACTTGAAAGTTTATTTATTTGAAAATATATTTACAAAAGTCTATTATACTGCATTGACTAATAAACCCGTATGAGTTGACGTGTCACGTGACAGAAGTGGTGCCATTTCGCGCCGTACAATATAGTAACGTCTGGCTGGTCATTGGATAATTACCGATGACTACGATTGCCTACTTTTATTCACAATCTATGTGAAGGGTGCAATGACCTAATTGAGGCGCTTGAAATGCAACAACCAGCTCACACCAACTTCTCATTTGAATTGTATTCGAACATTAATCGGCATTGTGTTGTTGTTCTACACGAATGTGTAGCAATAAAGTCACGCACAGAAATGTACCTAAACCACAGTCCTATCACCTAAACCTATGTTAGCGGGACTTGTAAAGCGATTCAATGCAATAACATGTGCTTGTACCTTTAAAATATAATTAAAAGGAAAACTGAAAATTATATCGCATTTAGGGTTTCAATAACAAAATATATTTTTTTTTAATTATAATAATTGTAAGTTCAAAAATACACACCCAAGCTGAAACTATTGGGGCTGCGATTATTGACGCGTGCGCACTGCAGACGATGTCACATTCCTGGCAGTATGCACGTATATACAATGTACGAGTGTTCGCCAAGCAAAATTCAATTTGAGTTACAGACTGGTTATAGTAGTACACGGGTTTGGAAATTCTAAATATAAAACTTATGTATATGAAAACTTATATGTATATATGTAGTATGTGTAGATAAATATAATGGGAACAATAATAACGAAATGTATAAATAAACAACACAGCGAAAACCCAGATATGTATACATGTCAGTATACCCATCCCATATGTAAATACGTTATTTATAATAACTGAAATGGTAAAATTATTCATTATGTAAAAAAATCGACGACATCGTATAATAGAAATTACTATTAAAATGCGTGTAATCGGAAGCACACAAATTGATATATATGTAATAGATAAACCAAGTTTGACAGTTAATTCAGAAAAGTAAAAGAACATTTTCATTTTTAATTAGTGCATTTGTTTTTTGACCGCAGGATGTTGACCAAATCTTCGCTTGACTTTATTGGCGTTATAATAAAAATGTATATACAGTTTCAGCAAACAATACGAATGTCCAAACTAATGCAATGATTCCGAAGACCACTTCTAGGAATGGGCGAATATGCATCGCACCAGGGGGTAATAACAAGAATGCACAAACTAATGCAATGATTCCGAAGACCACTTCTAGGAATGGTCGAATATGCATCGCACCAGGGGGTAATAACAAGAATGTCCAAACTAATGCAATGATTCCGAAGACCACTTCTAGGAATGGGCGAATATGCATCGCACCAGGGGGTAATAACAAGAATGCACAAACTAATGCAATGATTCCGAAGACCACTTCTAGGAATGGGCGAATATGCATCGCACCAGGGGGTAATAACAAGAATGCACAAACTAATGCAATGATTCCGAAGACCACTTCTAGGAATGGGCGAATATGCATCGCACCAGCGGGTAATAACAAGAATGTCCAAACTAATGCAATGATTCCGAAGACCACTTCTAGGAATGGGCGAATATGCATCGCACCAGGGGGTAATAACAAGAATGCACAAACTAATGCAATGATTCCGAAGACCACTTCTAGGAATGGGCGAATATGCATCGCACCAGGGGGTAATAACAAGAATGTCCAAACTCAAATACAGGATTATATTATTTGAAAGGCACGATTCTGCCCTGGTACTTCCTTCTATTGGCACACATTTGTACAATTCATCCTTATAAACACCGATAGATAACCATAATAACAAGAAACCATGATAGTTTAAAGTTTCAAGTTACCTGTGTCATATTTCCTACTTGTCAATAGCACAAATTAACTACTACCAAAGTCAATAAATACAACCACAATATTTCTCTCATAACCCGGCTTGTCGTTAGTACCCGTATGTACTAACACTTTGGTTCGTAAACCTTTAGTGGAACACTGCGTATATGATATCTCTACCCTATACAGAAGACACGATACATCAGTGTACCAGCATGTAGCAGGCAAGTGTAGTTAGCGTTTTAGTACGTTAGCTGTATATCCGATGCGAAACATACTTATTATATTTCTGCACCGTGCCGGAGGACAGATTCCTACTGAAACTCAACTTAACACAACATTTCAAAAAGTCGGATAATTCTTGCCAAAGCTTTGTCATTCTGTTCACAATCATAAAGTCCATCTTTCTCGAAAAATAACATATCGACAACAAGACAGATGTTTTCTCTCTTGCCGATAATGTCTTCGCTTTGTGGATCCACCCTATTGGGTTTGTAAGGGACGTGGTGCATCACTATAAGCACCACCTCTGCTTCTTCTGAAAGACAAAATAAATGTTGCTGTTACTGATATATTCAGATTTGACAGTGTTTTGTAACATATTTAATCGACAATTTTAATGCGTGGATTGTCGGAAAATATTCGGGCTGCGGTAATTTGAAAATGGCACAGAATCTTTGTGAACCGACTGACGTCTAAACATGATATCAAAAATAAAGTTGCAAACATTTTCGCATAATAGTCTCAAAAGTTCAATAAGACTCCAGGAATGATCTCAGAGTGCAACTTTAAACCCAATGTCATGTACTGTATTTAAAGAGTCTTGTCATGTAGTCAGTCCGCACCTTCTTCGAGGCTCCGAACATAATGAACAGTATTTATGCTATACCATTTATACAAAAGGTACATAAGCGATATTCAGATTTAGCAAAAAGCTAACCTCTCAACATAAGGAATGAATTATTAAAAGTGTGTTGCGCTTCGTATTTTTTAAAGTAATACCAAGTCAACATGGGGTTACAAAATGAACACACACGGGGTTACATTTTTGGTGTTCAAGCGAATAAAAATCGTTTTATTGCTATTATTATTATTATTATTATTATTATTATTATAAATATACGACATTTTATATATCACTACATGTTTACTCATTTGGTACTACAAGAGTAAGTTTGGCTCAGGTTTCATAAACAAGGAAATATTGGAAAAAATAAAAAAATAAAATTAATATAAATATTGGAACGAAATCCACTACAGAACAACTTATTCTGTTGATTGGACACACATGTCCCTTATGAGAAAATTGGTACACAAATAATATATTATTATATATATATTATAGTTCTAAACCAAATATATTTTTCTAGGATTTGCAGTCACAGCGCATTTTATGCAGTGCTTTGTACCATTCTTAATAGCAATGTGTTAGTATTTGTACTTACTACTAATCCCCTGAAGTGCATTCTCGACATCGGAGCCAACCCTTGAAGCATTGAGACAGAATACGAGACACAGCCGTCCAATTGTCGAAGTCTTTGTCCAGTCATCTAAGTTCAGATCAATATGTCTCGATCGTAGATTAAACCTTAGCCGTTCTATAAGTATTTCGTCGCAATGGTGAAACACGCCACATGCTTTGTAAATGCATGCAACTGAAAGACAAAAAGTATTCTGATATTGTTGCATTCCCTTCTATGGATAACACTTTCAAACGTCCCACAAGGTCTCACGTCACTATACCTATTCATTTCATATTGTGCTATATTGTTGTTTTAGTAAACAATAGTTAGCCGTCGGCTTTTGGTCAATTTTTTTTCAAATATGAAAAAAATTAAGCGGTTTTATTTCAGTGAAAAGTTCATAAGTTGTCTTGGATTCTAGAATGATTAAACTATTTAGTTCAGAGAACAAGTTCTATGGTTTAAAAGAATTACACATTATTTAATGAGTATTCCTTTTGTCAATTAATTTCTTTGAATATTGCTGTTTATGTGCATAACTATCGAAAGCTACGAAGTAACACTAGCAATCATTTCTCAAGGTCACCTATACAAAACAGCACATTTTTACCGAAGACATAGTGCACTGAAATGAATACTCGAATCTACTTGATATAATTCACTCGCTTGCAGGCAAATACTGAATGTATTGTAGTGTTGACTTTACATACATGTATACACACAATAGGTGTCAAAGAGTTCATTTCTCGAAGGTCACTGGTGGGCGGTGAACGGCAAATATTGAGAATACCTACCAGTTTGGAGTGAAGAAGCCCGCCCTCTGCTACCACTAGCGTACATTCCTGGTGATGGGAACTGTCCTTCAGATGCAGGATAGCCAGAATCCCTATCATCTTCATCGTCATCCAGAACTTCAATTTCGTCATTACATGTACTAACTGCCGGTGATGAATAAGATGATGCTCTAGAATGATTCCCTTTGTTTGACAGTGAAGTATTATGATGACCATTCATTTGAGAAAGTCCATTATGTGCGCCATTGCTCTGTGAAGCATTTTCTTTCATCTGTCGGATTTGGTGGTCCAGTGCTATCTGCAACTGCTCCTTGGCATATTTTATTTGATCATTTATGATTTTCAATCTCGAATTCTCTGCTTTTAAGTTCCTTATTTCTTTAGAAAGGGAATCAACCACAGTACTTGTAGATTCATCAACATTGACGCCGTTTTGTTTAGGGTTGTCCTTTTTAAGAAGTTCTACTAAGTTTCTATTGTCTTTTAATTCTTTTATTTCTTTCTTCAGTTCTAAGTTTTCTTTTTCAAGAACTTCTGCGTAAGATTTCTTGGACTTTAACTGCTTGTTTTCTGTGAGTAGCTTGGATATAAGAGTCTTCTGTAAGGAAATCACCTCTCGTCCATTTGGATTATCGACTTCCTCAAATCTCTGTAAGAATTAAAAATATCATTGATTAAATATTCCAGCAATTATGAGATAATGTAATGAAATGAATTGTAAAACTGTTTTCAGCTAAATATCTTAGGACACCACGTTCGGCATAATTGTCACCATACAGTATTGTCGAAGACACAATACTTTATTATTAGCACAATTATCAAATGACACATAATCATTTAGTACCTCTCCGAATTGGATGAAAACACACCAGCTAACTGTTCATGGAAAAACCATGCGATTCAGCATTTATGTCTCAAACTAAATCTATAAAACGGCACATAAACAATACAATAACTTGCCCGTGTGTTTAAAATTTCCATTTCGCATAGAATAGGTGTTAATTAGTCACAAACTAGGCGCCAACGCATGTACTTTTCTAGTTTCACACCAAATTACACATCCACATAAATCGGATTAGTCATCCAACAAAATATGCATTGAATGAGTAGAAACAGCTGCTTCCAATAAAATCGAAGGTGATAAATACTACAGTAATACTGTCTCCATCATATGCGACATGTGCTATAATACAGATTATAACCGCCATGTATATGACTTACTAGATGAAACGACCTGGTTGATTTAAAAACGATAGAATCTGCTTATACCAACGCTGGGTTCAGAACTTATTGGGGTGTTTAAGACTTATTGGATACATTATTGGCACGTGATATCATCCCATTTTATATTGTATCCATCTGTGCGTGGGTGATAATCAAGGTCAAGAACTGTATAAACCATGTAGGACAAATGAAGAAGGAGAGTAAAGCCGTTAAAGTATGTCAAGTATATGAATACACTGACGTTCTCATGACGGTTATTTGACTATTAAGTCTTTCCATCTTGGGTGTGCACAGGAATGCTGTGCCTCAATCAGCAAAGTTTTCCAACGAAATTTTACATATGCACTTTACTATTAGGTAATCACAGTTATAGTCTTGTGCTTAAATTAATATACTAGTTTTGAATATAGTCTTGTGCTTAAATTAATATACTAGTTTTGAATATAGTCTTGTGCTTAAATTAATATACTAGTTTTGAATATAGTCTTGTGCTTAAATTAATATACTAGTTTTGAATGGCCATAACATGAAATTCAATACACGACGTATGTTTGCCCCGCACTTCGCCCACACACACCTTTTGAAGTGTCACATATATTATGGGATATTATGCCAACGCCTTGTTACGGTAATGGAATCTCCAACAGGTACATTCTCAATGTTGAATAATCTTTCAGCTATTTAGAAGGAGTTCTATCCAGTGTTAAAACGCCAAAAATTATATAATCTAATACCTGAAAAGCAGACAGCACTGTACAATCCCTGTACGACTAAGCGTATGCCAAAATTTGGATTTGTTTCCGGCGGTTGGCACATTTGATCTTAGAATAGTTTCGCTATTTGGTGTGTAACCGGGGTACACATACAGTAAACGTGTAAGATGGCTGGATATATATAATTACATTTACTCCTTAACTATACTGATAAAACGCGACAATAGGTGGCTATTTCCATATTGTGTCGAATAATGATGATTATTGAATAGCCAATTAAAGTTATATAGTTAGAAATGTTATTAAATTGGATGGCTACGTATACGAAGTACGAATCATTTATCACCATATCCACCGGTGCCTGTGTGAGCACCTTGTTTTCCATTTTTCAGAGTTAATGAAGCGTAGGTTTCTTTGGAGACAGGTCTACATTGTCCGGATTTACAGGTCACGATTTACATGAAGTATTTTTTGTAAGCAGGATTTTACTCTCAGGGGTTCTGTTTTTTAGAGACTCGATGCAATTTGCGACCAACTGATTGGTAGTAACTGTCTCCTCACAAGAATGTGTTTGAATATATGTTCAAAACAAGCACTCTTCTTGTAAAATAGCATGCACTTAACAAAGACGAGTACTATGCTGCAATACATGTACATGTAGAGAAGCAGATTTTAAATGGATCGAGGTCATGCACATAAAATAATTTAAAATTATTTTCTCGTAAACCAACATTGTAACAAACAAGCCAATACAATGTTCTTGTATCAGATCTGTTATCCGTCACGCGTGAGACAAGTTGACATCATTAGACAATTTTACTAAATACCAATAATATAAAGGTGATAAAGGTTATAAAGGTGAATATTTGCACGTAAACTTTCACCTGTACCATGATTTGCCATTAGTTTAAGTTATTATTTTAAACAACATCTAGGATATAGTCTGAGGTGGTGAGGCGAGGAGTGGTGTTAATTAACTAGAATGCCAGACACTTGAACTGTGTAGAAAACAGACGATCCACGAGACGAAATTCGCCAAATACACACTTATTCTACTATAAAATGAACTTCAAGTTCAATAGGTCATTTGGGTACTGTCTACGACTGTGCACTGCAAGGGGTTGTTGTCTCTTTCTATAATTACTAGAATCAAGGACTCTGACATGTAACGAGTTGTCACAGTCGCAGTCAACAGGTGGTCTTTAAACTGAACTTGACATTATAGGAGAGACATAGTTAACCTAGTATATGGAACAATGTAGTTTTTTGGGGGTGTTAGGCTACCCAAAGTCTGTTTTTACGAGTTTGTTAACGTACACATAAGACAATGCACCCCTGTCTTCGATGTACCACTGAGGTTATTATGTAACGTGTGAAGATATTTACATTCGTCGTTTAGGGCGTGACATAAATTCAAGGGTCCACATTGACTCGCATGGCAACTCGTTATTAACAGCCTAGCGTGCAAACAGTACAACCTACTGGTTGTGAATTAGGTCATCAATATTTAATATGGTATAATAAGTTATGACGTCCCATTATAGTTTGCCTAAAATATGTGATCAAATTACCGAAATACTCACATCTAAACGTTCTAACAGAGTCGGTATGTCTCTCGAGTCGCCCAACATCTTGTCCTTCGGGGCTTCATCGGGTGGCTCCGAATAAGTTGGCTCGCTCCGAAAATTGTATTTTTTCTTCGACCTTGAAAGTCCCAACCAGCTACTTCTTTTAACGTCCTGACTGGTGTTGGTCGCCATTTTACGTGTCACCCCTTCGTTCCTCATAGCTGTAGGCGAATGCCTCGCCTCCTGTGATTCGCCTTTAGAATCCGATGACATTATAATCGCATAGTCTATCTACCTGAGCGGCGAATTGTTTTTCTGTGAATATGTGAAGATACAGAGAATCCTGGTAGCGCAGTAGACGTAACGCCTGGTGTAGAAATACTAAACTAAAGCATATAATATGTAAGCATAAACAACGCTTACTATGGCTGCTACGTGAGTTTGTGAATAATGAATTGTGTATGTGTAATGAAATGCGCATAGTCCGCATAACACAATTTACATGAAAACAGACTCACACCCTCTGTTGTGGCTGTCGTATTCTGTAACTGGCCTCCCACTCACACAACTGGTAATTTAGATCAATTTTAACTGCAAATTCAACGTTTATATAAAATGCGATTGTCCACCAACACGAAATATCAATATCGTTTTCACAGTTTAATTAATACTAATTTCTTTAATCGGTGAACAATAAAAACGTACATTTACACGTTAAATACAACGGGGTCGCGGCCATTCTCTGACCACCTTTGCATATTATTACCTTTCACTGTACGATCAATATACCGTTACGCATAAATTAGCATATATGCAGCCATTTTCTAATGTTGACACGGTGACCCAGAGTGTAGCACTGCCAACTTTAACTGGGTATATTTTTGCCGAGACATTTGCCAATCGATGAAAACTGGGCTTACATATATCATATGCGGTGGGTTAACTGACAAAAGTGTTTTACCACATTTAGGTACGTTTGTATTTCATATATATGTGTCGATTTCTACTGACTAGATTGATACTCACTCTGTTGATTCTCGCTTTTAATCATGGACCCTACAATTATAGGGTCTATGTTTCAATGGGAAGTTCAATGCCAATCGTCCTTTGTTGCCATGTTACGAGGCGATTCGGCCAGGCAGATCTAACGTAGGACACCTTGACCTGTTGAGATGGGTACATAACAATGACGTGCGTGTGGTCATCGAAAAATTACAGTGATTACGTGGTGCTGGAGTAAAACAGCTGATTCCACAGCGGTCGATATACCAGATATACCACCCATTGTAATGCAGGGTTGTGTTAGAATGTATGTGGCTACAACCATTATAGTAACGAGTCATGCCGACATATTTGTGCTCTACATGTAATGGCGAGTATACATATGTTAATCCACCTATGGAGATAGCACTAATCGTTGTCATATATAGCATCATAACAGGTTTATTAACACAGGTTTCAAACAAGGGTAATACAAGATACAACATTCAATTCACTATCTAGGATTGCTATATCGAAAGAACATGTTCACATTTAATCAATAGGTACACGATCACATATAGCCTAGACTGTTGAATAGTATATTCGTGCACAGTCCCTCTATAGAGGGACTGTGATTCGTGTCACTTCTACTGTCACGACTGTTTGCATGGAAATGTGCGAAATACAGTACAAACTACATGTGTATATAATACCCACAGACCCGTCGTCACTGTCGTAAAATATGTTTGTATTTGGTGATTTGCGGATATAATGTTTACGGTTAAACATATTTCATGTTAGCAGTAACATATCTACCGGGTAAATGACCTGGTGAACAATACCGTAAAGTACGTTTTCAACAAAAACGAGAGGCGCACCCAATGATAAAACAGATGCATCCTTTCTTGGGGTCGGTGTTGCATTGTATGTCAAGTCATGCAACTACAGTATAATGGTTTATAGTACTATGGTGAAATGCTCGTCCCCGGATGCTGGAGTCAATGTCACATGACATTGCGTACAATTTCATTCACGTATTACTAACCACGTCTACGTCTTAATTGGCTAAGTTCTCATTTGACTTGTATTTTATTTATCTTTCTTGGCAGCTTTCAATCAATGAACGATCTAGCAGACATAAGCGAGCCCGAGGAAACATACGCGACAAGTGGTACGTTACTATCATGAAATCAACCAATTTAAATTGGTCCGTTATTATGTTCATGCAACATGTTTGCTACTTGTAGATTTTTTTCATGAAATTAGGTATCCGCCTTTCATAAACTGATTTATGACATTTAGTTTGTTTCTTGCTAAAGAATACAACTTTATATAGTATATGGTATGGCAAGTAATAACTGTTATTATTATTATAAGCCCGTGTTTTAATACAGAACTGACAGAGAGTTATTTGAACAAATAATTAATCAAAACGCTGACATTTTATTCCACCAAACTAAACATTTATTGAATATAATTGATATAAACATAGTGTTTTGATATAATTGAGGGCGCAATACACCGAATTTGTCATTCCTGTCTGCCTGCTAGAGATATTTCAAACCAAAGTCAGTATCGATGAAATATATTAGTATTAAATTAATTCTGGTTCATTCCTTATAGACGAGGATGCCAATATGAGAGAAGAGGCCACAATAAAACAGGAAAACAATTCTATTGCCTCGTCTTCCGGTACGTATCAAACTATAATACAATGTGAAATAATACGTTCATCTCTTATGTATACCAGCATTTCATCAATATGTACCGTTCCCCCACGTGACTTTCACACAACCAATGACATTACAGCAATTAATATACACCCTCGGTGACTAGTTTACATTTATATTATTTATGTACGGCAAAGAGTGGATGATCGATAAATAATAATGTCTGCTTTATATTATATAGACAACAACGATAGGCACTCTGGAGCACGGCGAGATGACCATGTACCGGTCACACAGATGATGGCTTCAAAAGATGCTGATCAGCTTCGTCAGTGGTTAAAGCGACCACATGCACAGTTTTTACTCATTTACAAAGCGTCGGTGAACGGGTTTGATCCTTTGGTGTTCCACAGACTTTGTGATGGTAAAGGTGATACTGTCTCGGTGGCGTACAATTCCTACGGGTATGTGTTCGGTGGTTACACGCGTGTACATTGGTCTAGTGTCAATCAAAGTCGACCAGACAACCTGTCTTTCTTATTTCGTATGTACAGTGGGCACAACGTGTTCGATCCGTTTGTCAGAAGATCAATGGCCAACCAGAGTCCCCATCAAAAAGTAAGTTCGTTTTGTATTACGGTGTGCATTATGTTATTTTCCATGTGTTCGATATATTAACAATTTTTACTGTCTGTATGAATACATTTGTAAATTTTAGAATCATTTATGAAAATGTGTGATTTATAATTGGATTTATGTCCCAACCAATCAACATATTCATAAGTATAGTACATTCCACTACGGAATAAAATAGCATCAAATCAACACTGTTTCCAAAATGCATTGTTATTGTGTTTCGCTGGCAATAATTTTCAAGGAAGTAGTTATATAACTATAGACACCAATACACCAGTATATCGTAAAAACTCGCGTCCTCATTTGACCCGCATTGTTAAATAACTTTACGGAAGCAACGTGTCTGCACTGATGCAAATCGTGTCTATTTGTGTTATCTGTGTGATGGTAATCGTGGCCTGTAACAAATGTTAACTGGTGTCCCAGTGTTTATAAATCAACATTTTGTTCAAAACAAGCGATAAGGGGTTATTGTTGTATACCAGCTGTTATACTTGTATATCATTCATTCATTCATTCATTCATTCATTCATTCATTCATTCACTATTTATTTACTAGTAAATATATTCAATTATTTGTGTTGATGTAAATACCACCTCGGACGGGTGCTAATTGGTTTTATGCGATTAAAAAGTACAAAACTTATTAAATATGACAAACAAAACGCATGCAAATGAAATGTGCTATACCAGTAAAAGCTGCGAAAATGAAAGTTGGGGATCATCGAACTATTTCGGGACATACTGCTCATTTGTATTTAGTAATTTATGGTAGTTGTCTGCGTTAGAGTGATTGTGTGGTAAAAATACGTTGACATTTAATACTCAATGGGTGGAATGCTGACCCAGGGTGAATAGACAATACATGTTGATTAACTAGATAAAATTAACGTTGTTTTCATATGATTACTTCAGTGTCAGATATACCACAAAGCCTCGTACGGACCGTCGTTTGGTGCCATTGGCAGTACACTAACGTTATTTCACGGAGCTCATCAGAAAGGCACTAATGGCTTTACGAAAACTAACGGATTTTGTCAACCCGGAGCTACTGGTAACTTCGATTATGAAAAGTTTGAACCTCACGATTTGTTGGGACCGAATGACTTTAATTTCAAAGACATCGAAGTGTACCAGATAACTGGTAAGAACGAATTCATTTAATATATGTACTAGTGTATTGGTGTCATTATGTAATATCGTCACACACAGAAGACATACAGTCGAGCTATAACTATATTTTAATTATTATTATTGATTAGGATGAACGATTCAATTTAAAAAAAACTCGAGAAATTAAACTTTCAAAGAATAAATTTAAAATGTTAAATTTAGAACGGAAAGTGTGCTGTGTAAAAGGCAACAACGACATCGTAAACAAAAATGTGTAACATCTCATAATCAGTCTTATATGTAGTGATTATGCTGTAACGCGATAATCATGGTTTTCTTGTTTTCTCTAGATTCACCCAATACTACCACAACAGTAAGGAAGGTGCCAGAGTATATGCCAGAACCAATTCCACAAAGAACTTCACCACATTCAACTCTCAGGCTTCTTTCTACAAAATCACGCGTTGTGTCATCGTCATCTGATAGTAGCACGCGCCAACTAAAGCACCAAAGCAAAGGCGGCTTGCTACCAGAGTCGGAATCTTGGAGAAAATTACATTGGGACGAACAGTAAGTACACGGTCCTAGTCATTTTACTACTAGAATAGGAACTCCAAGTTTTGTGTATTTTATGAAGAATTTGATTACATATTGCTAGATAATATAATAAAATCAGTAATATTCTCCGTATCACAGGCAATGGTGTTCTTTATTTTCTAGCTACAATATAATAATTCATTGGGAATTCCACGACAAAGGAGCATTACATGTATTCGTGTATTCTTTCCAGAACTATGGCAAATCTTAAAGGAGAAGTTGCTAATCACAGACCATTGGAATGTTTCGGTGTTAGGCAATATCGTATTTTAATGCTCGGGCAGATTGGTGCTGGAAAATCAAGTTTCTTTAATACCATTAACTCGATATACCGCGGTCACGTGACGAGCCAGGCTAATATGGGTAGTGCGCCCCACAGCCTCACTACAAAGGTTGGTATTCATTTATTATAATGTGTCTCCCATTCAAACATAATAATTGGTGTTCAACAGCCAATCATCGCTGTTCATGGTTACAACCACTAGGTCTAAAAAGTTGATGTTTTTGGTTAGCATGCGTACCATAAAAAGAGCGTTCAAATCTGTCGCCACTGCACAGCGCCCCTGTTGACGAATTTATCAAACCTGCAAAATTTGTGCGCTGTCAAATATCGCCTCACCAAACATTTTTCGAACTTGAATTTGATCACATTTTTTTGCGATGCCCTACACATATTCTGTTTTGTTCTTCATATAACAGTTTTTGTTTCGTCCACAGTTCCGTGCATATGAAGTACGCTCGAGTCGCGGAGGTGATCCGCTGAACTTCAGACTATGTGATACAATGGGATTGGAAGAGTCGATGGGATTGGATGTAACTGATATACCATACCTTATAGATGGAAACATTCCTGATAGACATCAGGTAACCAATACAATTCTAAGCCTTGTTTCAAAAGAATGATGAGATTTAAAGGGTGGTGGTCGCCACGTAGCGCGTGTTCGAATCCTATGTATTTTACACGCGTTGTCTACATCGCCATGAGTCCCACATCGAACAGGACGCTACACGACGACCACCGCCCTTTAAATAAAGCAAACACCATATCTAATTCCCGCATCTCATAGTCAATTATCGTCAAGAAACCTTAGAACATTCCAGATACTTGCATTACTGCTAGTCCAAATATGAATAGATTATTGCCTTCGAAGTAGAATATCATATACGTAATGTTCGTGATGCCAGCAGCACGAATCAGTAACAGCGAAGCTAAGTATAAATTATTAAAATGTCAGATGTTAGGGATGTATGGCCGAGTATGAATTTCTTTTGCTGTGACTCTGTTATAGAATCTATTACACATGTAATTGATTTCAAATATAATACGTTTATCGGTTTTCTGTTTGTGTATTTCCTTGTCGCGTGAATTATGTGTATCGATTTTGAATGATGTACTATTTACTAATATATGCAAACACCTGCGACAATCACAACAACACTTGATATTGGTGTATTGTATAATTTTTATTTTGCTTGATATCATCAAACAATTCTAAAACGCGATTTATCTGTTTTTAAAGTTCGAATTAGCAATATATAATAGTAGTAGTGTTACGGAATGAAAGAAGTTTGGCAAAACTGGTATTTAATAAAATAATCAAACTTCGTTTTCAGTTTAATCCTGCAGTTCGAATAACACCAGATGTTTCCGGATTTGATAGAAACCCAACACTGGCATCAAAGATTCATTGTGTTGTGTATGTTGTGGACTGTAGTACCGTCAGTGTAATATCGTCAAAAATTATAGAAAAGTTAGCGGCAATACGTACCCATATCAACCAAAGAGGTATGTACTTTTTATTAGTCCCCGTTCGGACGCAGTCCGAAAACGGGGACTTATGTTTTGCCCTGTGTGCGTCCGTCCGTGCGTCCGTGATCACCTGTATCTCGAACATGCATGGACCGATTAAGTTCAAACTTCATTCATACATCACACATTATATGGGACATATGCACATGCATTTTTTTTATGATCCGATTAACGATAGCCGAATAGCGGCCATTTTAAGGCCGAAAATGCATCAAAATCGCACATTTTCACCATTCCGGACCCGGATCTCAGTTATGCATGGACGGATTTTGTTAAAATTTGGTACATACATTAAACATAATAGGATCTTGATGCACGTCATTTTTTTTTGGATCGGGTTCGAAATGGCCGACTGGCGGCCATTTTGTTTTAAAGAATTCAGTTCTGGATCCGTATCTGAGACATGC